CATGGGGCGCCCCGCGGAGGTGCGAGAGGGACGGAGCGACGAAAGCGACTCTCGGAGTCAGCCTGCAGGCCGCCACCACTCCGCAGGGCTCGGCAGGGCTCGGCAGGGCGGCTCGCTTTGTCTCTGTCTCTTGGGTGTCTCCCTTCTTTCTCCTTTCTCCTCTTTTCTCTCTCTTTCTTTTTCTTTGCGCTTTCGCTTTGTTTTTGTCTCCGACTTCTGTCCATGTTTCTTCTCAAAAAGAAAATTTATGTCAATTTCTTTCCTAATGTTGCTATTTTATATTTTTATATGTTCAAATGCCTTACGTAGTATTATTTTTCCTTCGTGTTCTACTGTTTTTTGCTCTTTTTTTCATTCTTTGTTTTCAAGGTGCTCTTCCCTTCTGGTTGTGTGCTCCACCATTGACCGCCACGTGGGGCAGCTCCCTTTTCTCCCTTGTGCTTTACAAGGTGAGCGTTTCTCCATCTCCGCCTTCAGACTCCGCCAAACGCCGTGGGCGCGTTCACCGAGTCGTCTTCGTCGCTCTGTCTCTCTCGCTCCTACACGGGACGCCCCATGAGTGCGAGGGAGACAGAGCGACTCTGCCTTTCGCCCTTCGTCCTTGGTCGTCAATCCCGTTGCCTGTTGCAGCGGGCGGTGCATCCGCGCCACCGCCTTGCCACAAAAGACGCCCCAAACTGCAAACGAAACACAGTGTGGCGGCCGCGGCGGTCCGACCGCCGAAAGGGCCTAAAGGGCCTAAAGGGCCAAGTAGGGCTGTAAAGGGGTGAGAAAGAGGCGGCAGAGAGAGAAAGAGAGCGAGTGGCGAGCGAGAGAGATTGCCGCTTTTGTTTGTTACTAGCGAGGACATTGATTCAGCCATTGCAACGCCCCCATTGGCCAGCGGGTAGCCGGTCTGCCCCGCCGCGCCGCGCCACGCCACGCTGGAGGTGGGGGTGGGTGGCGGTGGGTGGGCGCGCAGCCCCGCCTCGCCCCGCCACGCCCCGCCACGCCCCGCCACGCCGACGGGGTGGGGCCCACCAGCGGCCCGCCGAGGCCCGCCAAACCACACGGCACAGTGCGAGCTGGCCACCCCTCGGCCTGTCCGCGCGTACACGCGCACTCACACACGGACACTCTCACACACACTGGCACACATGCGCTGGCTGGGCTGGAATTCCATTCCTGGCCACACACATACACACAAGCACACACTAACCCGTTACAGACGGGCGCCAGACAAACCCTGCAGCAGCAGTGCATTCCAGAGGTGAAGTATTCCCGCTGTACTTCCACGCACCAACCCGTGTTTGTACACGCCATTCATTCACGACGGCACGCTGCGAATCCTGCGAATGTCGTTTCTGGATTTTGGCTTTTATTTACTGCCTTTGCGCTCCCTTTCGTCGGCTGCAGTGCGTTACAACCAGCCTTGGTGAGTGAAGTTCCTTGTTTTAAAAATGCTGTGGACTTACTGCCTGCTGCCCGTCGCTCATTGCGATTCCGTCCTGTGCAATCGACGAACTCGATCGAGAACTCGATCGAGAGCTCGATGAATGGCCCTGCATTTCGCCTCTCCCGACGTCGTGACGTCGCCGACACACCGGTCGAGTTGAATCGTTCCCGCCTTCCCGCCGGCCGGAGTATCGCCGCTTCTGAACGAAACGTTTCTCATACCGCTTCGCAGATACCCCACGCGAGGAGGGCCCACCCGCGCTGCGATACCCCGTGCTGTCGTGTCACCGCGCGGCCGGAGTATCTCCGCTCGCGTGCGGCGCTGGCGGCGCTACCCCGTGCGGCGCGCGCAGGTGGCCACTCTAGCTCCGCGGCGATACCCCGCGCCGCACGGTGTATCGCCGCGACGCTAGGGTGGCCATCCACCAGCGCGCGCCGCTGGGCGACGACGGCGTCGTTATTGAAGGTGATAATTGCCGATGATGCGTCGCGTCGCCGCGTCGCCACTGCAGTGGCCAGGGCGTCGCGGCGTCGCGTCGTCCTCGTTGACCTTCTGCCGGCCAATGAGGCGCCCGGCCGCCACGGCCGCCACGGCCGCCACGGCCGCCAAAGCCATTACTCATCTTCGCCTCCAAGTTACGGCCCGCCGCCGGCCCGCCAGTGTTGCCGCACAGGAGTCCGGCCCCGCGGCCCCAGTGGCCGAGCGCGGCCGCCGTCGCCGTGTGCTCGCCTTTTTCCGGGATTTGATTAGGACCGCCTCGCTCTGTCTCTCTCTCCCTCTCTCTGGGTGCGGGAGGAACAGAGCGAACGTGGGCCGTAGGAAACGCATTGCTGAGCGGCTGCGCGCGTTATTGGGTCAGATCGGAGGAGGACCATCGGAACGCGACCCAGGTCGTCGGTCTTGCAGCGATAGAGGGAGCGAGTGAGAGGGAGAGAGGGAGGGAGAGGGAGAGAGAGAGAGAGAGAGGGAGAGAGCACCGCGAGCATCCGAGGGTCGCCTCGCTCGCTTATCTCTCGGCGGGGCTTGCTACGCGGTGCTACGCGGTGCTACGCGTATCAAGTTCAGGAGATAGCGGCAATGAATCATAATCCAGCGGTGGGTGGCGGGCTGGCTGTGGCTGGGGTGGAGCAGGAGCTAGAGCGGCACCAGATGGGGTGGCTACGGCACTGCCACGGCACTGCCGCGGCCGAGGTGGCGGTGACGATGCTAATTCACGCGAAACAAGACCGCAGCCGCTAAGCGGAGGGCCAATCAGCGGAACCCAATACGAACTGCAGACTGATTCCGAGAGTCGTTTTCGTCGCTCTGTCTCCCTCGCACTCATGGGACGTCCCGGAAAGGTGCGAGAGAGACAGAGCGACGAAAACGACTCACTTTCAAACTCCTCAGTGAGTAGTGAAATCGCTTTTTGGCGGCAGTTTCGCCCCGTCCCCGTCGGAGACGCGAGAAGCAAGAAGCCGCGGGACAAAAAATGATGGGAACTTGGTTTCCCCTCGTGTGCAAATCCCCACCGCGCGTGCCTAGAGACCCTGCTGCTGGTGCTGCCCCTCCCCCGCGAGTGCGAGGGAGACAGAGAGATACAAGCCGGAGCCACCAAGCCACCCGCCGACCGTCGCAATATCCCGGACGGCGGCCGCCGAGTCCGAACATGGGTCCCGTCGCTCTGTCTCTCTCGCACACGAGCGGGGTGCCCCGCGAGTGCGAGAGAGACGGAGCGACGCGGTCGCAGTCAGCCCGCTGCAGTAATAAAAGATTGGATTGGGACGATTGAATTCGGGGCTGTCACTTCTCAAAGGCGGCGGATGGCCGGCGGGGCGGCGCGGCGTGGCGGTCCTCTTGGCCCTCTTCGCGGACTCGCTGCGGGTAGGGCAAGGCAGTCAGCCGCCTCGGTAATATTGATTTATATCGCGTCGCCTGTCTCTCTCACACCCCCGCGGCTCCGCGGCACGGCCCGTGAGTGCGAGGGAGACAGGCGACGCCTTCGGCCCGCTGCCCTTCGCTCTGCTGGTGCTCCAGTAGTGGGTGCTCGACAAGGGCGTTGCGCCTCGCGGAGTGCCGGACACCCCTTTATGAGCTGGTTTGTGGCCTGGAAGGCCTGGCAGGCCTGGAGGGCCCGGCCGCCACAGCGCGTGCCAAATACTCATCTTTCTATACCGATGAATTATTTATCGTGTTCTCCTCTTTTTCATTTCTCGCGAGTGGGTATTGAGCCGCGCGCGTCGTGCTCGGGGGATCTACTGCACTGTAGAGAAAGAGAGACGAGTTCACCGCACGGCCACGCCCTGCTATGGACTGAGAGAGAAGTAACGGCTCCGGGCAACATGTTTCATCCCATGTGTACGACGTTGGACGGTTTCCGTAAAAGCAAGTAGATTAGTGTCGGACTTATTTATTTATGAACTTTTTTGTCCATGTAGTTTATTTAATTATTTTTCAGGGCGATTATCCTGGCATGGGCTAAGCCGTTTACCGTTCAAATTGTGCATTTGGATGTGCACTCGAAACGGATCCAGGCGGACCCCTTCGCCGCCGGGGGTCGTGCGTGCTGCCTGCCGGCCTGCATGGTGTTGTGGAGAGCGGGTCACGCGCGCTCCGAGCGCATAGCAGCACCACCACACGGAGGACGCGGACGCGGGCGTGGCCGAGCAGCCCGGCCGACCACCAACACGTAAATAGAAATGCAACCGCGCTCGCGCCGGGCAGGCAGGGCAGGCGGGGCAGGCGGGGCGAGGCAGTGCACCGCCGCGACAGGCCGCACCACGGGGGGCACGGCCTGCTCCAGGTGGACGGGGAGGTGCGTTCGTATCCTTTGTGCGCACGCCTCTGTGTGTGTGTGTGTGTGTGTGTGTGTGTGTGTGTGTGTGTGTGTGTGTGTGTGTGTGTGTGTGTGTTTACTGTGCGCATAGGCACGGCAATCACGCAGTCAGGCAGGCAGTCCAGCGTCAGGGTCATACGCGCGAGTACATATACGAGGTGCCGCGGTGCAAGTGTCCACCTGCCGTGGCGCGCCGCGCCGTTCCGAAGGACCGCCCCGTCTCTCTCGCACCCCCATACGGGCCCCACGGGACGCCCCGTGAGTGCGACAGAGACAGAGCGGCGAACCGCTGCTTCGGAGTGGCTGCAGCCTGCAGGCCGCGTTGTGCAACGAGGATGCCGCACGACGCATGCCTTGCAGTGCAGGCACTGCGGCGGCCCCGCGGAGTGCACGCAGATAAATAACGGTGACGTCACGTCCAGGCAACGTGCCGACGGACGCTTTTAATAAGGATGGAGGCGGTTCAGGGATGGAAGGGGTGCGGAGACGCGCCGCCGCCGACTTTGACGATCCGAGAGTGAAAATCAGTTGACTGGCGTGGTCACCATGTCACCGACGACGGCGTGGTCCGCGGCGGACGGACGATGGCGGAGTCATCCCCTGATTCACCATCTCCGAGCCTCGCGAACAATACCCGGCGACGGCGTCGTCAGCGTTTCCGCGTCGTCGGGCCTGTCGGCCTGTCGGGCCGGTGCTGCACCTGGACTGGATGTTTATTTTGGCGTCACGTCAAAGCTTGTCGGTGTGGCGTCACCCCCAAAACTGGGCGGCGCAGCGCGGCCCGGCCCGGGCCTTGTAGACCACGGCGGCCGACGTGCCGATAGCCAGCAGGAGGTGGTTGCTGAGCTGCGACAGCGTGTTGAAGCGCGCCGCGGACAGCGCGCACCACAAGAAGGCCCCCGACATGGCGTACATGGCGAGCCACACCACCTAGACACGGACACCGAGCGTTGGCGGTCGAGGTTTTTACCTGTTTCCAGGTTTGGCAAAACAAAGCCGGCGTACCCAGTCCGACTCTATCAGGCTGCAGACGGACTCCAGAAGCCACTGCAGATCAAGATAAGAGCCGCCAACCACAGTCATCTGCAAAGAGAAAACCATTTTCCTTTCATACAAATATTTTTGTCGCACGTCATGCGGCTCTTACAAGATCTAATCTAATTTTATTCCGGAAGGGAGTTTTTGGTAAATGTTTACAACAGTGACTCTAACCAGTATCATGTCCAAATATACTTTTTTTGTGCCCCCAGTGTGTCGCAGCAGCCCAGACCCGCATGCAACCCAACTTTTTCCACGGCTATCTCCGCAGTCCTTCCTTCCCCCGTTTGGCGTGGACCGCCTTCCAAAGAGGAGTCTTGGTGCAAACGCGGACAGAGCCAAATGGCTGCCAAAACAGCGCGACTCCAAATATTTGACAAAGCGCGCCTACGTTGGAGGGGCCGGGGCAGACACTGGCAGGCAGGCCGGGGTGGTGGAGGGTCCGGCCGGGATTAAGACGCGGAGACGTCACCTCCACGGTCCACCGCCTTTAATAAATTGCCCGTTTTATTTCTTTCCTTTCCACCTCACTTGCTCCTCAAACAAAAGCGGGCAGCCCGCTCCCGTCTCGAAAGTTTTTATTTTCGCCCGCTGCTGATTATTCCCGCACACAGTTCTCCTTTTTTCGTTTTTTTTTTTTTGCGTGGTGACAGTGGGCGTCATTGTGCACGTGCGGCGTAATCTTCCTCGCGATCTAGGAATGCGGCGCTGCGGGAATCCTGGTCGGCAGGCCTAACCTAACCTCAAACCAAAACGGCGCCAAAACCCGAAATTTCGGCTGCTGTCCATGGGGCTGTGACGCACGTGTGCCCAGCGTCCGATTCACACGCGCTTTTTATGAATGACACGACTGTCGAATCAACCGGACAGTCAGACAGGCAGGCAGGCAGACAGACAGACAGACAGACAGCAAACAGTCGTCTCTCGCTCATATACACAGCCAGCACACGGCCAGCATTCGTGCTAGCGCTGCTTGCGCTGCTTGCAGGCGTAAGCCGAGCCGGAGCACTTCCTTCAGAGAACCCAGTACGCCAACTTCGCTACTGCGGGAAAAAATGTTTGAACCTCTAAAAATACACCTCCTCCCCCGCGTCCAGTGGTCGGTTTGGTATCTGGCCTTGGCGGCCGGCTCGTGTTTCACGTTCCACGCAGTGTTTTGTTTTGGCGTACCGCCTCGCAGGCTGCCGGCAGGCCCTCGTACAGCGTGCGCTCCACCGCCCTGAAGATACAGCTGTGGCTGATCTCGAAGATGAACAGGCTGATGAAGAACTGCGGGAACAGAAAGGGATTCGTTACTGCCGTTTTGCCGCGTTTTGTCCAGGAATCTGAGCGAGGCCGCGTCGCTGTGCGGGTGTTTACATGCGGGCTTGCTTACGGCGCACATCCGGTGGAGCGACGCCATAGCCATGGCTATGGCGACGCCGCGTCGCCCTCGGCAAGGGCAAGTTGGTAGCATTGCGCAGCGAGATAGAGTCCAAGTGTCCAGCAAGACTGAAGGTCTTCCATTTGACTACTTTGGGCCGCCATACTGGCACAGGGCGCGCACCTTGTACACGAGGAACAGGCTCTGCGGCGGCCGTCGCCACATCCTGCGCGGGAACATCCTCATCCTCATGGACACGGCCAGGATGCCGAGGTTGAAGAGGCCGGCGGCGGCCTCGGGCGGCACGGGGCGCGGCACCAGCTGGGACCGGCACAGCGGCAGGCAGCCGCGGCACGCGCCGAACGGCAGCCATTCGCCCAGGTAGCTCAGGAAGAAGGCCAAGTACACGGGCAGCAGCACGGGATCTGCGCGACGGTCAACATAGCCGAGCGGCTAGAGAGCCAGCTGCCCGGCCACGGGGCCCGGGTTCGAGACCCGCCCGCCGCCGCCGTTTTCGTCGTGGTCGTCGCGGCCATACGGGAGGTTTGATGGGCTGGGAATGTCTAAAGGCGGAAAGGATGAAGCATGGGCTGCTGCAGGCTGATTCACAGCGGCTTGTCTCTCTCGCACTCTTACGAGACGCGAGTGCGGGAGAGAAACCACCCTATCGGAATCAGTCTGCTGCATGGCGGCGGCAAATGATATAACGGCCGTAAGAATACTGAGAGGAAGCTGTTTGCTCAGCCCAGCCTAGATATTAGGTCATCCAGCCTCCATGAGCGGCGCGGTGTCCCACTGTTCCACTACACTGTGAGCCTCTAGCCGTGGACCGTGACTGGCCGCCGACCCGCTGGGACACGCTCCCAAACTGTCAGGTGTCAGGTGTGTTGTTGTTTTTCCCGACCATTTTCTGTCGTAACCACGTCTTGCTGTTGTTTTTGCTTTCCTTATTTGCACCCCCTTACAAGTGTTTGCTGCGGAATAAGGGCTCGCCAAACAACTCAGCGAAGTTTCACCCGCCCCCTTTCGCGGAAACCCCCTCTTCCGATTCTCTTTTTATTCCACGCGGAATGAATGGGTTCCTTTTTGTTTCTCGAGGAGATTGGCAAACTAGCCCCCCAAAACGCACAGCCTGCCGCGCCGCGGGGGAGGCTTTCACCTCCTCGTCCTCTCACTCACCGTGGCGGCGGCCGTTCGTCGAACTGCGGGCCGAGGAGTGTGCATCGGGCGGGGCGGGGCGGGGCTAGACAAACACAGCCACACCGGTGGCGTTCGTGCCCCAGCCGTGAGACCGGCGAGATATCTCGGTGGTGTTTGTGTGTGTGTGTGTGTGCATCACGGCATCGATGCGCGGCCTGTCTCTTTCTCTCTCACGGCGCAGTCTGCAACACAAGACACGTGTCAGTCAACAGACGCATAGGTCACCGCCCCCTCGCGAGGTGTCAATCGGAGCGGCAGTGCGATTGTCAATGCATCGGGGTGCAGTATTTCCAAGACGTCTGGCGAGGCTAATGGCGTTCTAGGGAGGCTGACGGAGAGCGCGCGTTCCTCATCAGAGGTTACAGTGTGCGACATGCCTCGAGATGCTTTCCGTTTAGTTCGGTTTCACGGACGCCGGTCCTTGGGGCCCTGCCCCGCCCTGCTCGGTCCTTGTGGCCGGAAAGCGTGTGGAATCCTGCCGGGAAGCCCCCGAGAAATTCCTTTGAGCCGTGTTTGCTTTGGTACCGAATCATCACCACGGCCCTCCCGCCATTGTCCGGCTACCGAGGCATGCCTACCGGCCCTGTAGGCTGATTCCGAGAGTCGTTTTCGTCGCTCTGTCTCTCTCGCACTTATGCGGAACGCCCCGTAGTGCGAGGGAGACAGAGCGACGAAAACGACTCTCGGTGTGCCGGCCGGCACCCACGAAGGGCTTTTCTGTTGAGTCACAGGCGCGCGCTTCCACGACACCGCTTGACCATCAATTTCAATGCCAGTGTCAGCGCGCTGCAGCGGCCCCAATTTAGTTTGTATTTCCAAGTGGCCCAAGTCAATCGCCGCTCTGATTGGTCCAGACTTAATTACCCCAGCCCTCGTAATAATGCGCGGTCGAGGTTTGAGCGCCTCATTGTTGACAGAGCACTACAAGAAGGCCGTGAATCCCGCGCCTCGGCCTAAAACGCTGGCAAAGGTAAACAAGGGGTGTACTCACTTGTTCTGCCGGAGCGGCGCCGGCGGCACACTGCCGAAGCCGAACCGGGCGGCCACTGCGCAAAACGGTAGGCAAGAATACCAACAAGTACTGTGTCGACAAGTGCTTTCGTCCATCCTACAGCAACCAGGTTAGAACTAACGACAGACCTCACTTTTCGGAGCAGAGGTGTGTGTGTGTGTGTGGGGGGGGTGTCCTCTGCAGACGGTGCGCCAGTTAACCCTATTTGAACAACAATTACCCAACGAAATTTTGCCTACAATTATGATGCACGACTAGTTTGAGCGCATAATTTATGGAGATGTCTGTAATGATCCTCTGCAGCAGACTGATTCCGAGAGTCGTTTTCGTCGCTCCGTCTCTCTCGCCCTCACGGGGCGCCCCGTACAGGTGCGAGAGAGACGGAGCGACGACAACGACTCTCGGGTGAGGTTGCCTGTCCGTCATTAGCGAGCGGGCCTTACAGGTGGCGACCGTCTCTCTCGCTCCCTGTACGGCGCGCCCCGTGAGTGCGAGAGAGACGGGCCGAACAATGCCGGCATCGGGCGGGAAGAAAAGGAACGCGGTCGGGCGAGCGCGGCGAGCGTAGCCGGAGGGGGTTTGGACGCCGAGTTTGCCGTCGCCGCCGCAAGTCATCACGTAAGTCACCGAGCACACATCGCATATGAGAGGCATTTCCGGAAAGAGGCTGCGAGTCGCCCGCCGCCGGCAGCCGATTTCAGGACGGAGACGACGACGAGCCGCGACCCGCGGTGAGGTTAGGTTCGGCCAGGCCGCACAGTGGGCCAGACCGGTGGAGGCGGCCAAAACTCTAGGCGCGTTTTGAGCTCCAGAGTCGCTAAATGGGACTCGAACCGAACGTGTGACCCCACCAATGGATTCCTCGTTCGAAGAGCAATCCATTGGTGGGGTCGCACGTTCGGTTCGAGTCCCATTTAGCCACTCTGGAGCTCAAAACGCGTCTAGAGTTTTGGCCGCCTCCACCGATCTGGCACACTGTGGGTCGTCGCCGCGGTGTTCCGCGTACTGCGGGCAACGGGGTGACAGACGCGGTCCGCAACTGGGTCGCGGCGACGAACACGACGAACGCGACGTTACCCAACCGTACAATTAATGTGCCCTTCCTGGGCGCCTCGTAGCGGGAACCACTCGCTGACCCTTGTTGTTGTGGTTGCGTCGTGGCTGCACTGGAAAAACGGCTAGCGCCGTCCTGGCGACGCCGCGACGCGCGTTCCTAATCTGTCCTGGAATGTCCTCAGGGCCCGCGTCCTACCCGGTCCTACGTGACTGCGTGACCCCCGCGGGCCCCGCGGGTCAAGCCGGTCCTTGTTCCTGCTCCAACGGCGCCGAGTGGCGGACTGCCAGACACACAGACAGACAGACAGACGGACGGACAGACAGACAGACAGACAGACAGACAGACAGACAGACGGACAGACAGACGGACGGACAGACAGACCAGCTGCATATGCTGTGGATGCTGCGCGCGCGCCAATGCATTGCCATCTTCAAAAGCTCATCAAGGAGCGGCGCGGCAAGGGCAACGGCCGGGGGATTGAACCCGGGACGACGCAGGGCGTTGCGCTCTTCGACGTGTCGAAGCACGCCGCCGTCAACGGGTGCCGCTGTTCGCCAGGGGTAGGTCGGGTCGGCCTAGCTGTACATACACGCGTGGGCGTTAACGAGTGCACGCACAGTGCGAACGAGCGAGGGCAGTGTGTCAGGTAGCGCCTAGTGCACTGGCCTGTTGGGAAGCCTCCCAGAGGGCCGAAACGTGAAAGTAGGGCCGAGCGCGCCTAAAGGGACAAACGGCCGAAGGGCCAAACACGGCCAAACCTCCGTGTTCCACCGAGTGTTCCACCCCCAAAACTTCCCTGCCCATCAGACTCGTTCCGGAAGTCCTTTCCGTCGCTCTGTCTCTCTCACACCCATAAGGGACGGCCGATGGTGTACCTTCGAACTCGAAGGCCCTGAGCAGGCCGCTGGGGTCCCTCCAGACGTAGGCGGCCTGACGGTCACGGTCCAGCGCCAGATCGCGGTCCCCCGTCATCGCCGACCTGGGCGGCCTGGCCGCGGTGCCCTACGGTGCCCCGGACTCTGGAGGCGCTGGTGGCGCGCTCCCCGGAGGACGGCGACGACGAGCGGCAGCGGGCGGCCTGGCCGGCCCGGCGGCACCAGGGAAATGGCGGCCACAATAATGATACGCTGCACAACAATGCAGGCGGTGCAGGCCGTGCAGGCCGTCAGCCTGGCGGGCGTAACTTATTTATCTGGCCTAGGAGAGGGGTATAATGAGGGGGCGGTCGGCCAGCCAGCCCCAGCCAGCAGACTGACTCCGAGAGTCGTTTTCGTCGCTCTGTCTCTGGCGCACCTACACCGGACGCCCTATGAGTGCGAGGGAGACAGAGCGACGAAAACGACTCTCGGAGTCAGTCTGCAGTCAGCGCGCTGTCTGGCCGGGACGGCGCGGAGGTGGAGGAGAAGGCCGTGGAGAAGGCCCTGGGCGCCGACTGCTCCGAGGCACAGGCCACTCGTCAGGGCGCTGTTTCAGGCGTCCACATTTGTGCATCATGCTGTTGTTGCTGTTGGGTGCTAAGGTCCGCCAGGCTCATTATCACGTCCCGCCTCACGCGCAGAGCGGCGCCGTGCTGCGAGTGATTTCACCTGTGTTTACTCGGAGTAAAGGGACCCTGAAGTGACCTATGTTCAGTCCACTCAGGGCGTGTGAACTCACCCGTATGAAAATGAAAAGTACGCTTTTAGGACGCTTTTAGGACGCAAACAGGACGCTTGACCTTGGCTCAGACTTGTTCGCTTTCAGTCTGCTTTCCAGGTGGACTAGGACGTAAACAGGACAGAATCGCCCAAAAAGCGCCCTCCGCGCGCCCTAGTCCGCGCGGGACTAGGGCGCTTTCAGTCCGCTGCGCGGGACTAAAGCGGACTAGTCCCCTGACGCATCCCCGCCAAAAGAATGCCAGCGCCGGGCCGCCGGGCCGCCCGGGCCGCCCGGGCCCCGCCCCGACCAGCTGCTGAGACACAGGCTTCAGTGGTAGTCGATCCCCGGACTGCTGCGTTGATGACTCGCCTGGCTCTTCGATGTCGAGGACGGTGACCACTGCGCTAACCTGGAACATGGGGACCGGGGCCGCAGGCGAGCCTCTTCACTGGCGCGGCGCGCTCAGCGCACAGGCAGTGCGCGCGCTCCCTTCCCTCCTCTCTGGCGGGCGCGCCTTTCAAGGTAGAGAGGTGCGGTTTTCAACGTGGTGGTTGCTTTGCATAGAACTTGGCATCTAGTATGACTGGTCACGTGTCGCATACAAATATGTACGAAATATTTCGTAGACGTAAAATTTTGTACGGTTCAAACAAAATAGAACAGATACATCCAAGGGGCAACCACTCCAGAAATCTTGTCACCTAAGCGCTAAAAATCTCTGGGAAATCTGAAATCTTGCCTTTAAAAAGACCAAAAACAAGCTAAGTTTGGGCGGAATATTGCTTAAAATCTTGCAAAATCCGACGAAATCTTTGGCCCTCAGAAATATTGTGTCCCCAAACATCCAATGTGGTTGCCCCCTCGCATTTACCACGCGTCAAGTTAAAAACAAGGAGTGGAACTAGAACCAGAAATGGGCTTGTCCTCAGCAGCCCTGCACAGTGGAAGAGATTCATAGTAGTATTGGTGTTGAACCATGTGAAAAGCGTTAAAATGTCAATCACTGAGCACTGTGTTCTTCGAGGGTAGGATAAATATACCGCCTGACCAAAATTGACACCAGTTGAAATAGGTATTATAGAAGCATTGCGATTGAGAGTAAAGGCGCTGGAAGCGCTAAGGGCAGTGACGACATTGAACATTTAACACTCGATGACTCAATCACCAACCCCTGAACACTTGCGGACTAGTGCGCTAAAGGTACGCTTGCATGAGGGACTAGGACGTGAAGAGGCCGCACAAGGGCCGGACTCCGAACGCCCTAGTCCGTGCGGGCATTAGCGCGCCCTCTTCACGCCCTAGTCCCACCTGCAAGCGTACCTTCCGCGCACTAGTCCGTCTCGAGCGTACCAAAAGCGGACTAGTACCCTCCTCGGGCGCGGACGACGGGACTCCTAGCGCCCTAGTACCCAACGGAGGGGCCTATCCGCGTACAAGTCTCGCGCGTCTTCGAGACTAAAAGCGTCCTAGGACGCATGTTTGCGCACCAAAAGCGTACGAGTCCAGCCTGCAGCGTCCTGTTTGCGTCCTAAAAGCGTCCTAAAAGCGTACTTTTCGTTTTCATACGGGCAACGCTCAGTCAACTGGACGCCTCCCTGATTCCACTCGTCGAGGTCAGGACCGCGGGCCGCGCCTGGCCGCGCCCCGCCCCGTCCGGGGCAATGCACCCCTAACGATCCTTTGGCGAGCCAGGATGGCCAGGGTGGCAGGATCCTGGAATGTATGCAGGGACATGTCAATACGCCCCACTCGACTCCGACGCCGCGCGACGCCGTGTTCGGCCGCCGAGCGAGCCGTGCCGAAGCACTGCGAAGCACGGGCCGAACGGGCCGAGCCGTGCCGAGCCGGAGCCGAGGGACCACGAGGAACGCGCTGGGTAAGCTCGGCTCGGCTCCCACGAGTCCCACGGCTCGGCTGGACTCGACGCCGCTCGGCTCGAGCGAGACGCCGGACGGCTGTTTTATAGGCGCTAGGGTTGCCCCCCGTTCGCACCTCGGGCCGCCGCGGCCGCGCCGTGCTTCGCGACGGAAGGGTTGAGCAGGTGGCAACCCTAGCGCCCGTCGGTGACGCCGGCTCCACCGCCGTCTCCTCCCCAGGTGTCTGCAACTAATCTCTGCTGTCATGGGACTACAAGTGTTCTGCTTTGGGTGGCCGAAACAGCGAAAATGATTTCAAAATAATTGAGGCATTGCAATGGCGGTCCCCACTTACCCCAGCCCTGTGTTTGCGAACCCTCACTCTCGGCCCTCCGTCGCATCCGGACCCTTTTTCGCGTGCCTGGTGGCGCCTGACTCGCCCGCAGACTCATTTCGAGAGTCGCTCTGTCTCCCTCCCACACTCCCACCTGGGCGGGACGCCCCATGAGCGCGAGAGAGACAAAGCGACGAGAGCGACTCTCGGACACAGTCTGCTGACGGGCAGGCCCCGGATCCGCCGGCGCCTCCTCGCCGACGTCCTCAATGACGTGGTCCTGGCATGCCGGCCCAGCGGCTCCAGACGTCTTCGGGATAATGACTACCGAAACCGCCTTGCTCTCTCTCGCACCCATGCCGTACGCCCCACGAGAGCGACAGAGACAGAGCGACTCTGCGGATTCGGCCTGTTGGTACCTCGCAGTACCTGGCATGGCTAATCGCTGCCTCTCGGCGTCGGCGCGCCGGGCGGCCACCCTAGCGTCGGCCGCGGCCGCGTCGCGGGCGCTGGGTGTTGTGATGGGGTGGAGGGGGGCGGTGGCGGCGGCGGCGGCGCAGACGCCGTGGACGTGAAGCTGGGCTCGGCGGTGTAGCGGGCCGGCGCATGGGTTGGGTCGGCAGCAACGAGCGGGGCGAGCGGAGCGGCGAGCTGGCTGAGCTCAGTGAGTGAGAGCGCAGTCTGGAGGGAGGGAGAACCGCGTCGCTCGATCGAGGCCCCGTCCGCGCTCCGCAGCGCTCCGCAGCGCTCCGCGCCGAGCCCGAGCAGGCCGAGTAGGCCGAGCGCCGCCACAACAACAGGGATCGTGCAGCTGCCGTGCCGCCGCCTGGACCCCATCCCAATTTAGATTCCCAGCCTCCATCATCGTCTACCTGAGCGCCAGTGTGTGTGCGTGCGGGCGTGTGTGTGCGCCAAACGGAGCGGAGGAGGAGGCTGCCCTGCAGTGCCCTGCAGTGGCGTGAGAATGACAGGAGGCAGTCGGTCGTGGACGTAGCCCCCGTGAGGAAGGTGTAGCCAACGCCAAGGTGTAGTGACGTGATAAGATAAGGCCATGCCGTGGCGGGGCGGACCGCCAGCAGTGCTGCGAGTGCCAGTGGAGTGAGTGCGTCAAGATCGTGAAAGCAGTGTGGTGGAATGCTGCTGCCGCGGTGCAGGCGCCACAACGCCCTCGTCGAGCCCGTCGTCCTGGAGTACGCGCCGTCCGCGCGGGCCGCCGCCACGGATGAATGAACAGCAAGTCGTCGCAGGAAAGTGAGGTTAGTTCCCTCGACTCCGCCCTGGCCTAGCCGAGCGCTAGCGCCGCCGCGGAACCGCGCTGCGTCTCCGCGCCCCGCGCTCGCCCGGCCTGGCCCTGGCCCCCTGGCCTTTGTCCGCGGGCCTGCGGGCCTCGGACGCCGACACGCTCCAGCGCCTGCCGCAGGCCACCGCCAGACACGCACGTCGCCCGGGTTGCCTATCCAGGTCGCCGCGGGCTGCGCGATGCTGCGACGGCGCGCTTTATGTCCGAAGCGGTCACTGGGGATTTCGGGCTATTACACTGGCCAGAGAAGCCGAGCCAGCCGGTCAGGGAAAAAAACGAAGGCTCCTGCACCTGCTGGGCCGGCAGCTTTGGCGGCCAGGTAAGGGGTTGGGGAAGGGGGCGGGGCGGGGCGGGGCGGCCAGGTGGCAACTTCATTTGCATAGTTTCCTTGCCTGAGCCGCCGGGGCCCTGCCAGGCCTGCATAGCGATGCCAGGGCCTGCTGCATATTTCGTTACTTCGACAGTGACCGTTTCCCCATGAATACTCGTTGGGTTGGCCAACCTGATCGCAGTCCCACTGCAGTGGCGGTTGGCGCCCGGCGGGTCCAAAGAACGCCCGGGACTGCCGAGGCCAAGGCAAACGTCGACGGGCTCTACACCGTAAGACGCTCTGGGTCCCTGGTGTGCCCCTGTGGCAGATGCGTAAATGGCATTCTGCTCGAGCTATCTTCGCCATCACGCGAAACGAGACAGGAGGAGTTCGCCTGGGGACTCAGCACACGTTCTCTTCGCTCTTCTCCGTGGGCCTCGGTGCCGTGGTTGTCACATTTCTCTCCAGATGACGCTGTCATCGCCAGCTCACTGCCAGCACCTTGGATGCCTCTTTTTCGGGCGGCGAGGGGGCGGGGGAGAGCGTGGCTAAGCGACAGCGCGACATCACTTTGCTTATCGCTGATATACTACTGACAGGCCCCGATGACTCGTGTCACGCGCGCTCCTTCTCCTCGTCCTCGTCCTCTTGCTCTACTCCGCGTTCCACAGTGGGCCAGAAGACCGGTGGAGGCGGCCTAATAAGCTCTAGACGCGTTTTGAGCTCCAGAGTCGCTAAACAGGACTCGAACCGAACGTGTGACCCCACCAATGGATTGCTCTCCGAACGAGGAATCCATTGGTGGGGTCACACGTTCGGTTCGAGTCCTGTCTAGCGACTCTGGAGCTCAAAACGCGTCCAGAATTTTGGCTGCCTCCACCGGTCTTCTGGCCCACTGTGTCCCGGTGCAGTGTAGGCAACTGCTCCACTTCGGCCGCTCGCCTTCCTTCCTTGTTCCCAGAATGAATGACACGCCGTCCCCTTCACGGCGCGTCTCCCTCCGTCTCTCTCGCACTCGCGAGGCGTTCGGCGTGGGTGCGAGAGACGGCCTGACGAGGCGCTGTTTAGAATGAGCCTTACTGGCCTTGGATTTTGGGCCATCGTAAATCTCTGGTAAATTACCTTGCCTTCGCCTTCGGTGTGCCTTCCTTGCCTTCCTGCTCATCCTTGTCACCTGGATTGGGTGCCCCTCCAGGTGCCTGTCCGCCTCGCATTGTTCGCCCGGGCGGCCGACGCTGACCTGGCCGTGGCAGTGCCGTGGCAGTGCCGTGGCAGACACTGAGGTGCGAAACCTTATGAATGGCTCCGTATCTCCGGTCGTCTGTCCGTCCGTCTGCCTGACGGTCTGCCGGCCGGTCTGCATGGGAACGGGGGACAGTTTCCGTGAACACGGGCCGCTCAGGTGGGCTGGGCCATGCTGGCCCAGGCTGGCCATTGATGCCTTAGTTTTCGGCGGAAAGCGCGGCTGCCTCGTCGCTCTGCCTCTCTCGCACCCCCGGGGGACGCGAACGACACGCCATGAGTGCGAGAGAGGCAGAGCGACGAGAGCGCTGTTCGCAAACAGTGCCCCCCCCCCCGGCCGGCCAGTGAAGTGCGCTCGCTATGAAAAATTGCGCGGAACTTCGGTTCGGGATCACGACGCGGTCCCCGACGGGATTCCTGCTTCCTCGGCGTCCACGCTAAGCTACGCGTAGGTCGCTTGACCCCGCCGGGGAATGGCGGAAAGGGCATGGCCTTCGCGGCCGCGCCGTGCCGCTGACCTTTCAAATCACATCAGCGTCGTCGTCGCTCTTCATCGCCGACGGCTCTTCGTGCTCGGGTTCAAATACCACCAAGACCGCGTTTTGTTCTTCGTCCCGCGCGCGCTTCACGCACGCCGCGATAATTGAGTTAGCCTGACAGGAGTACGCGGCGGGGCGGGCCGCGCTGCCCGCGGCCAGTGGCGTGTTCGACCCGGTGCGACTGCTGCGGCCATAACAAGTGAACAAGTTGGCAAACATGCGCCGGGTGATGGGCAATGCCGGGCAGCCGGGCGGGCAACAACGCGGCGGGGATGCGCCGAGCTCGCGGAGCTCCGCGATGCGCATGGATGATGACGGGCTTGTCATGTTTTCGCTCGAGTGGCAGCACTGCGTTTTGTTCGCTGGGTGCGCGGGGCGTGGCGCGTGGCCGCCCTGTGAAATGGCTCATCCATCCATCTGCGCCCTTCCTGACCCCGGGCGGGGCGGGGCGGGGCGGGGCGGGGCGGGGCGGGGCGGGGCGGGGCGATGCCCCCGGGCCGACGGCCGACGTCGGGGTGGCGCCGCGTCGGCCCCGCGGCGAGGGGTGGCGCTTCCTGCACGTCTTCAAACTGGAGCGCTCGCTGAAACAAAAGAATAACTTTTGGCGCCATGTGGCGTGCCGGTGGCGTGGAAGAGACACGCAGAGAGTGGAGCGACCACGTCGACTGTCGGGATGGGCCGCGCGATACACACAACAACAAAGGAAGCGGGGGCGGCTTGGGGATGCGGGTTCGAATACCCGCGTTTCCCGCGATATATTTTTCCGCGTTGGCCACACTGTTGAGAGGCGGTGATGTGACTTTGTTGTTTTCGGCGCGGGGAATGCCGCTCTGGGGCTGATAAGTTTTTCATGGCCTGAACTCTGGCCTCGCGGGGGCGCCGTTCGCAGCAGCAGCCAGCCGGGCGGCAGGCGGATAGACCAGATTGGGATAGATCGCTGAGCGGCGAGCGTGGGCAGCCTTGCCTTGCCTGGCCCAGTCGCCCCGTGACCGGTCCCATCTGCCACTGCCCGCCTTATGCGCCAAGTGTTTACAAACGCCCCGCGCATCGTGATGATCGAGATCGGCTACCCAGCGCGGCCGAACCCGTCGCCATGGCAACGTGGCCGTGCCTCTCATTATTCGCTCATCGGCGAGAGTGTCTCCGTCCCTGACTGGACGCCGCTCTGGGCCTCGGCCTAAGGGTCGCCGCGGGTCGCGGCTCACCCTCGCGGGACGGCGGCGGCCTCATCTGGCGAGTACGATTGCAGTGGAGTGGCAGATCGCCCGGCAGTGCCGCACTCGACGTAACGCTCTCGGCGAGTCTCTCGACCCCCCGCTGGACGCGCATTAGCGCCAAACTCCGGGTAGGGGTCGGCTCGACGAGTAGGGGTTCCGCCGCCGCCACCGCCACGCACTGCGGCGGGGGATGGGGTGCCGCGGCCAGCGCGCTGTCTCGCTCGCACTCACGGGGCGCGCCGTTGGGGTGCGAGAGAGAGAGGGAGAGGGGCGGTTCGAATTCGGCCTCTGCCGGCCATATGGCGTTCCCTGGGAGATGCAGCAACTGCTCGAGGACCCCGTCGGCCCGGCCGCCCCGCCCCGCCCCGCCCCGCGCCGTGGTGGATATATATGGGGCGTGCACTATCGACCCGTTTGGGGTTTTGCTCCCTGCGGCGCTCTCGCTCGCTCTCACTCGCTAGCCCGGCCCTTCGCTCGCTGATTGCACTCTAATGGCCTGGCCGGGCTGGACTCTGGACCCATGGCCTGCCCTATCCTGCCCTACGCGCACCCCGTCCTGGCCGTCCTGGCCTTGCAGGGCATGCCGCCCTACCTGGCGGAGCCGCCCCCAAAAGGGCTCCGATGATGCACGGCCTGTCGACACGCTTTTGCGTGCTTTTGCGCGATGGCTTCGGCGCCAGGCCGCCCTGCCGGGCGGCAGCCTGCCGCCACCAGGGCCGGCACACGTGCAAAAGAAGGAGCGAGTGTGTGCGTGCCCCAGTGCCGCCAGTGCCGTCGGGGCGGCCGCCATGCCATCTCTCTATCCGGTGTCTTTATGCCTCTATCCGGTCCGGCGACATGCGACGCCGTCGTCCCTCCAGACCCTCCCCGCTGCACCGCCGTCGCCGTGGATGCGTCTGTCCGCGCCCCGCCCCCCGCCCCGCCCCGCCCCGCCCCGCGCGAGCTGTTTCCGGCTCTTTTATTCCCGCTTCGATACGCGGAATTGCTCGATTCAGCGCGGCCGGCCCGTCGGCCCCTCGACGGGGAGGGTCTCTAGCCCGGCCGGCGGCACGAGCACGCCGTCGAGGGCGGCGCGGCGGCCCTGCCATGCCGGCCGTACTACACGGTAGTTGTAAGTAATGGCGGTGGCGGCCTGGCGGGGTAGTCTCACTGCGCGAACGTATGCGGTCGAGGGTTGGCAGGGTTGGCACAACTCGAGGGACCCCCCTCCCCTCGCCCTCCTTCCGTCCCAGCATCCCTTCCTGGATCGCCTGCAGCCGCGCCGACGCCGCGCCCTTTGTCCTCATCAGGGAGGCTGCGTCCGAGGCGCCTAGCCGCGCCTAGCCGTGCCGCCCGGCGCCGTGGGAGCGAGAGAGACAGAGGGAGGCTCGGTGTCGGGACGCCGCTTCGCACGCGGCCCGCTCCACCCTAGCGCCGGGCCGCCGGGCCGCCCCTCTGCGTCGGGGCGGGGCAGCGGGCTGGCTCCGAACAGCGTCGCTCTCTCTCTCTCTCTCTCTCTCTCTCTCTCGCGCTGCCTGGGCGGCGTGTGGGTGCGAGAGAGACAGAGCGACGGAGCCCGGCTCGGCATCGGCCTGCAGCCCGGCTGGCTGGGGCTGGGCTGGGGTGCGGACGGTGCGGATGTCGGCAGGGGAAGAGGGAAGAGGCCGAGAGGGCGAAAGTACCGCCACCTCGGGCCACTGGCACGCGTGCTTCCTGCGGTGTCGTTAATCTTTTTTTTCGTCGCCTTTTTTCTCTCTGTTGGTTTTCACTCATCGCGCAACCCCCGCGTACTTACATCGCAGTGTCGGTGTCTTGTGTTGTCGGGATCAAAGCTTCGGCGGTGCGAGCGTTCAAATACGCCACGTCCGTTCTGCATGTTTGCGTGTTTGCATGTCGTCGACCTCCAGCTCCCGTGCGTGATCCTCGTGACTCGCGGACTCCAGGGTGGAAGTCGCGGAAAATGCCATTGAGTTTGGCCGCCTCATCGTCCATGTCTTCATTCCCAGTGATGTGGCTCCCCGTCCTGACCGTTCCCCGCGCTCTTGTTGCAGATGGAGACCATGCTGCTGGCGGTGGCGCTGCTGGCCGCGCTGGCGGGCGCCGCGGCGCAGACCATGTGTCCGCAGGGCTGCCAGTGCGACGACGACACGCTGGTGGTGACGTGCGAGTCCGCCAGCCTGGACGAGGTGCCCATCACGCTCAACCCGTCCATCCAGCGTCTCGGCATGCGCTACAACCGCGTGCGCACGGTGGACGCGGCGCTGCAGTTCTACGGCGAGCTGCAGTACGTGGACCTGGCGCACAACCAGCTCGTCAGCATCCCGCTGCGCGCCTTCGAGGCGCAGCGCAAGCTGCTGGAGCTGCACCTGGACCACAACAAGATCTCCGGCGTGGACAACGGCACGTTCCACGGCCTGGCCAGCCTCACGGTGCTCAGCATGCGCGGCAACTTCCTCATGGAGCTGAGCCCCGGCCAGTTCGGCCAGCTCCGGCACCTGGTGGAGCTGAACCTGGGCCAGAACCGCATCGCCAGCATCGACCCGCGCGCCTTCGACGGGCTGGTGTCGCTGCGCGTGCTGCACCTGGACGACAACCAGCTCCGCCACGTGCCCACCGCGGCGCTGCGGCCGCTGGGCGCGGGGCTGGCCGAGCTGCACGTGGGTCTCAACGCCTTCTCCACGCTGCCCGACGACGCCTTCCAGGGCCTGGGCAACCTGGCCGTCCTGGACCTGGCCGGCGCCGGCCTCAACAACGTGAGCGTCAACGCGCTGCGCGGGCTGGCGGTGCTGCGGTCGCTGAGCCTCGCCGACAACAAGCTGGCCGCCGTGCCCAGCGCCGCGCTCGGCCGCCTGACCCGCCTGGAGGAGCTCACCCTCGGACAGAACCCCTTCCCCGTGCTGGCCGCCGCTGCATTCCAGGTGAGTCCCGGACACGGCCGTCGGACAGGTGCAGGCCAGTGCAGGGCCCCACGGCCACTCTGCCCGTGAGAGTCTCTCTCGCACTCGTGGGGCGTTCCGTGTGGGTGCGAGAGAGACGCGGCGGGCCTCGGAATCAGTCTGCAGGGCGAATTAATCAACACGTCAGCGGCGAGATGGGCCGGGCGGGCTGGCCGGCCTGCGCCCTGGCCGTGAGGCCTGGCCGTGAGGCGGGCGGGGCGAGGCGCACACCTTTGTACAGGGTGATTCATAACGCGGCCGGGGCGGGGGAGTGGCGGCGGCGGAGGCCTCACTCTCACGCCCCTCGGGGTGCAGCCCCGGTGCTGATAGGCAATCCAACACGCGGCCCTAGCGCAGCCCGGCGGGCCCCGTCCATTAATCCACGTAACGCCACGTAACCGACCCGGCTCCGGAGTAATATTTCCCCCGTCGATTCAATATCTCTGGAGACTGTTGAAAAACCGCGCGGCCTTTCTAACGCCTTGCTCTCTGTTCGCCAGGGCCTGTCCAACCTGCGCAAGCTGCAGGTGTCGAGCGCGCCGTTCCTGGAGACGGTGGACAAGGGCGCCTTCCGCGACAACGTGAACCTGGAGTCGCTGGAGCTGTCGTCCAACAAGCGGCTGACGGCGCTCATGGACGGCGCGCTGACGGGGCTCACCAAGCTGCGGCACCTGTCGCTGCGCAACAACCAGCTGGCCCACGTGTCCGAGGACATGGTGGCGTGGCGCGACCTGCACTCGGCCGAGCTGGCCGGCAACCCGCTGCACTGCGGCTGCGGCCTGCGCTGGCTGCCCGAGCTGCTGCGTCGCTGGAAGACGGCCCCCACCCTGTGCGCGTCGCCGCTGCCCCTCCGCGCGCAGCCCCTCGACGAGCTGGACGCGGAGCGGCTGGGCTGCGCGGCGCGCCTGGACAGCCGGCAGCAGGCCGTCATCGCCATGGCGTGCGGCGGCGCCCTGGTCATCATCTCCCTCATCGGGCTGGTGGTGTTCAAGAGCAGGCACCGGATACGGGCCGCGCTCAAGGACTACCGGTGGAACAAGCGCGCCATCTCGCGCAAGGAGCAGGAGTACCAGAAGACGTTCTCGGACCCCGAGGACTACATGGGCAGCCTGCAGAAGCCCATACCGGTCACGGAGTTGTAGCTAGAGCTCCTCGCCCCCAGGCCCGCGGCCGGCGTCTTCCTCCTGGGCCAACAAGGCCACGAGGAAGCCGCCCGCTTCGGGACCGGGCGGCGACCGGAGCACCACGCCCACCACGCCGCGCACGGCCCAGAGGCCTTGCCAGAGGCCCTGTACGACTACCCCTTCCACCCCCCGAGGCCCCCGCCGGACCACGGGGACCCTGGGGACAGCCCCCCGGCCAGGGGGCCCTACATGTCCACGCCGGTGTACTGAGATGCACGTCGTGGCCCTCGTCCTCTCGGCGCCGAGAGCCTAGAAGGCGACCTCGGTGGCCAGGACCACACTCCTAGTGCAGCACGCGGCCGGAAGGAACGGAATCATGCCGGTGATTTGTGGACTTTCATTTACCTGTGCGCCACTTCAATAGTAACTGCAATGCTTATCACATTTTGAAATGGATAGCGTTTTTTTGGTGCTAGCTCGGATTCATTGAACCTGAGCTGAACGTTGAACAGTGAACTCGATTGCGTAAGTTTTGTATTATTATGCCACTGCCCTTTACAGCGTACGAATCTCAATCAGCAATAAGTAACACTATTTGTTAGTAGTTTGTAGGGTCTCTCTATTTTCCGTCAGTGTTTAGAGTTGTCAATCTTCCTCTTCTTAATGTTAAACATTGTCCGTCTGAGATCCTGTTCTGCTATTTAATTACGGAATGCTTTCAAACTTCAAATCGGGCTGTGGCAGACATGCCTCCAAAGAAGGAGCTTCCTTTGCCTACAAGTATGTGGGCCTATTTCCAGTTGTAAATTTTTGTCGTTTATTTATTTACTTTTTTTTGTTTTCGTGCAAATGAGCTTTATTTTGTTTTGTTTCATTGTTTGTTTGATCCTCACGGTATTAACCTGCCCAGATTGCAGTATATGTACCTGTGATGAATCGTTATTTTCACAAGTTTTCTGTAAATATGATGTACAGCTTAGTGTTTGTCCAGGCTTCAGTGTTAATATTTGTAAAAGTTGTAAATAGAAGGGTTGTTTTGTTTTTTCAACTGAAATGTGTAGAAATTGTAGCTTGGGGGGCTGTTTGGACTATTTGCATAATGCCCGACGTACCGTCCAGACAAAAAGAAAAAAGTTTCAAAACATTTGATAAAGTATCTTACACCTGTATCTGACTCTGTAACGGTAGGCAGTTCTAGCATGTCATAATATACTTTCACGTGGGCCTTTTCATAACTGTCCTCTATTTATTCAATGTTGTTTTGTTCCCCATTTAAATGTCATTATGTGGGTGTAATGCAGATAGTCCGCACCAGCCACTCATTTTGGAAAGTTGTTTAAAATAATTTGTTCCAACATACCGGCTGCTCACCGGTACAGAACTGTAAGCCATTTTGTTGAGATCAAATCTGTGATTCATTTAACCTCTGGATCTCATCAAGTTGCATGATAATTTGTTAAGGTCTTATTTCAAATCGAAAAGTATTCTAGAGTTGCTGGCTGCTTTCCATGGCAGCTAAGTCTTTTTTTTTCCTTTCTTAGAATATTTGATTGTAAATTACTGGACTGAAAGGCAGCTTTGTATTATTAATGTTTTTTTTTCTTTTTATATTTTTGACTGACTATTTTAATTAATATGGTCATCCATTTTCTTCAAAATGTTGGAAATTCTAGTTAACTTGTTCTGTGTTTACTGAGTTTATACCATTTGTGATACCCTTTTGGGAAGACAACAAAATGTTATGGTTCCATTACTGTACTGGAAAACTTCCTTGCACCTGATTTGCTCATACTGTTCCTTCCCCTCTTAATAAAATGAGAGATAGGCGTCACAAATGGTAGTAATATTCATTATAGCAGCAACAATTTTTTAAAGCTCCTTCAGCCATTATTTCTCATTGTAACTTCTGTTCTCAATCATCTTCAAATTTGTAGCAAAATGTTTTGCTTGATGCATATGTTCTTGTTTGGTGTATCATAAAAGTTACTGTTTCATTTGAAACTGAGATGCCCCTGCAAAGCAAGGTGGCAAATTAAAAGGACTCGATGCCATAATCACTGTACAGGCAACTGAAACCAGCCGCATCATTGTGGTTGAACTGACGAAATTTGTATGACCCATGCCACTACCTCTGTAGGAATGTGATAGTTTGTAATTTATCCTACATTCGTCTCCATAATTGTGGTGGACATTACAAATATTGTGATATACCTTGCATTTTTTCCAATGTTATGTTCATCTCTGATTCAATCTGTTATTCTGTTTCATACCTTAAGGAAACATTTCTCTTTATTTGTCTGTTTCATACCTAAAGGAGACATTTCTTTTTATTTGTGATCACAAAATATATTACTTAATGATATTGAAATATGCGTTATTCGTTTCCAATATCACTCCACCGTATTGCGCATCATCATCATGGCTCAGACGCCGCTAAACCTTTCCGCGACACCATGCACTAGGCAGCTGGCTCCTACTCCTGCTCAAGGTTGCGGAGGAAAAAAGGGAATGTCTCTAGGAACGCTCTGTTGGATGGTTCTTCCCTCCGCCGACAGATGGCGTGCGGGCACGTGCAGAGAGACCGTGAAGCAGTGTCTCTCAGCGCGAGGAGTATCGCCGTCTCAGTGAGAGGGAGCGCCGTGTGGGTAGGCAGCCCATCGCCCATGGACATGTTGAAGGAAAATTACTAACTCTCAAAACTAGGAAAGATTAGAAACATTTAATACTCAGCAATGAAAAAATAACATAGTATACTTGATACCAGGTACATATCACATTGTTCTTTAAACAAACAAAAAAAAAATCACTTGGTACAATATGATTAGATTTAAAAATTATGAAGTAAACCAAACTGTATTTTGAAAGAGTAAACTTGGAACAGGCCCTTATCCGAATTAACACTAGCTTGATGTTGATCCGGCATGAAATTTGCAAATTACTTGCATCACCTCCGTAAAGCACTGAAGCATCTTTTCTTCAGGGACCTTTGACAATGCAGATTCAATAACAGCAGCATGGGCCTTGACGCTAGAAGACAGAGGTACGCCACTTGGTTGTGGCTGTTGTGCAGTGGTAGAATTCAGGTATCTTTGCATAGCGCTCGTGAGTGTGTTCATTGATTCAGTCATTTTCTGAAGCATCTCACAATAGTGCGAATCTTCACTTTCATCATCTGAGTGCACATCATCACTTTCATAATCGGGGTCACCTGACAACACAAAAAAATTTTAAAAAGAGGAACCTTATCAAATTGTTAATCTTACATTGGTCCATGATTTTTAAACCGGACACTGTTTTGAACACAAACAACTGACCTATGGGTTCAAAGTAAGGGTCCTCGAAACTGTCTTCCATCTCAGAGGATGCATATCTTCCTCTTTTGGGGGGTGGTGAGGCTGATCTGGAAGATGTGAGGGATACAGATGGCGATGGTGATGGAGATGGTATTGATGATGAAAATGGAGATGTGGGTGGTGATAATGATTGTTGATCAGATCGACCAGATGTTGCTGTCCTGTGGTTAAAGTTTCAGTTAAGGCCAATATGTCAAGGGTAGAAGAAAGACTAGACTGATAAATAATACATACTTTGCATGCTGTTCCTTCCAAAAGGAGAGCTTTTCGTACAAAAACCAGTCTGACTGTTTACGATTTGTTCGTGGGTAGCTGCTTTTTTCCTTCAACACCTCCTCATCAAACCTATCCCGAACTCTTCTCCAGATGTTTTCGACTTCTTCACCTACGTCAGAAAAATCGGATTAACTTTGGATAAACATAAATGTCTCATGCTACGGAGTATGTCCACTCGAATGTTTCATAACCTAGACCGCTCTAGCTTATGAACCCACCTGAGACTGTGCTCCAAGGTCCAAAAATCCTTTGGGAAATAAGTTTCCAGGTCACAAACTTGTTGTACCCTTTCGATGATTCATCGCGTGAAAATTTATAAACAACGTCGACTAGTTTGCTGAGGAGAGTCCGCCGCTCCTCAGAAGCCTCATTGCCGTAAACATCCCTTTCCTCCTCACGATACAGTACAGAGGGCATTGTCAATCAGATATGATCGAAGAACCAAATGCAACAGAACGAGAAAGTTCACATCCAGTTCGAAAATCAAACCGAAGCCAAAAGTAAATAAACAATCCACAGCTATTCTTCTCGCCTCTCGTCCTCGCGTTCTCAGCTTCCTTGTTGTTTTGCTGCTGCTGCTGCGACTTATGTTCCGCACGCTTGATTTCTCATAGCGGAACCAGTTCCCAATACCTCTACCTGGCGCCAAACGCGCCAAACTTGAACTTGGAACCGCGGGCCGCACGCCCCGCATGGTGCTAACCGTTTCCGACGCCTCTTTTGACCATTTCTGAAAAATGGAAGGTAGTGTTCGGTTGTTAGGGCACCGGTGCGCCCCCGGGCTGGAATTTGATGTCTATGCGCTCTCGACGCTCTCGCTCTGCCGGTCCCGCTGTCGCTACCCCGCGCACGAGGCGCACTCCACGCGAGGGGTATCGACGCCCTTTTTTTGCCGAGATGGCACGAGGCACGCGGTGCGATCACGGCCAGCGTATTTGTCCTGCTCGCTCCTCTTCCAATCAAAGGACGTCCAATTTCGTGAACGCGCGGCGCGGCTGCCACTCGGACAGACGGACGGACAGACAGACAGCTCTCTCTTTCCTGCTGGGCGCCCCCTACTCCTTTCACTGCGCGGGGCCCCGTCTCCCCGCCCCTCGCCGGCGGGCAGCCCTGGCTGGCAGCACACTGGCAGCACGCTGGCAGCCCCCAGCCCCACGGCGGGCCGGGATGTTGGTCAGTTGGTCGGACGGCCCCACGAGGAGAGGACCGCTGCGCGAGGCGGCCGTACCGTGTGTCGTGTGGTGGTGGTGGCCCACCGGGGAAAGCCACTGGTTTAAAAGTGTCAGTGAGTGTGTGAGTGCGAGTGTGTCAAGTAACAAGTGCAGTGAAACGGTTTCCTCCCTGTGGATGTACTACTACTCACGTGGATAACTCTTTGGACCTAGCCACTGGATAACCAACAATATTGCAGGTGAGTGCAGTTCGGGAAGGTCCCTCACGCCGTACACTGGGTGCCTGAAGGTGGATCTGAGGGTAGCGCGGCACCCCGAAACCCCAGGACGAGCGTGGATGCAGTGCTGCAAGACGCATTTCTTCTTGCGGGACAGGACAGAGTGGTGGGGGTGCGCGGGTGTTCCTCCCTTGTGCATCCCTACAATGAATCGAGGGTTTCGGAACACCGATGCGTGGACTGTCAGCGACTCGCCAGTGACGGTCACCACGGTGTCACCTCCGCCATGTAAACACTGCCGGGCCGCGCCATCGCCCGAGATTAGCCGAGCAGGTCGCTCTGCCTCTCTCGCACCCGCATAGACAGCTCCACGGGTGCGACAGAGGCAACGCTTCGATGTTCGAAACCGCTCTGCAGACGTCCACCGCGGCTCAGCTTATCTCAAGAGACACTATGCAGAGCGACAACCTTTCGAAAATTAAACCGGCCGCGCGTGCGCGCCAACATCAGTGCCAACCTAACAGTGCGTGTCGGCGAGGTACTTTCCCCCGAAGTGCCGCAACAGGATTTGCGTGGCTTATTGCAATTATTTTTGTAGCAAAAGGAAGTTGGAATTAATTAACAGAGCGATACGGTGAGTGTGGGAGAGTTCGCAGCAGCACTGTTGTCCGCGTTCCCCGCAGCACTCCAGGGACTCCAGGGATACTCCAGGAGCTCCAGAGACTGCGGGGACTCCAGAGGGGGTAACACTGCTGCCAGGAGTTGAAGATTACAGCCAACGGCGGTTGTTAGTCTTTTTGCGCGAGAGGGAAGGACTGAAACAGCCGAGCTGCGTCAAATGGGGCCGCGGGCAACCAGCCGCCCTGTCACCCGTGACGCGGCGTCTGTCTCGCCTGTGACGTCTGTGACGTCTATGTGACGTCTGTGACGTTCTGGAGCACGCCGCCCCGGCCTTGGCGTCACTGTAAATCTCCTCTGGCCGGACGATCCCTTCCTTTTTATAGGCGAAGGTGCGCGCCCCGCTGCCCGTGCGTGTGAGAGTGTCTGTGTGTGTCCGTGCATCCCGTCTCGTCCGCCCATTGTGGGCCGTCCTTAGTGCGAGGTGAGAGGCCCGACGGCCCCATGGCCCCCGCTGGCGTACGCTGGCGTGCACGGCCCCTCCTAGAAAGTGCTCATGAACGGCGTACTTGGAGGCGGCGGGGTCGTTGCTCGTGGAGGATGCCGCTAAGGACGCGGACGACGCCGAGGACGCCGACGACGCCGTCCGCCCGGTGTTGTAAACAATGACGGGCACGTCGATGCTGGCCGTGCTGGCCGTGCTGGCCGGCTCGAAGGGGTGCCGAGGGCCTCTTTTGTGACTGCCCGGAGCACGCCATTATGTAACGAGGTGCGCCCCGCCCCACCTCCTCGGCCAGCGAGGAGGTGGCCGAACCGGAGTGGGCGACTCACCTGAACGGGCTTCATAGCAGTCTCATTCCCGTTTATGTTTTCCTTTTTTCTCTCTGTCTCTTGCCCTCTCTCTTCTCGCGACGACCACTTTTGCTTTCGTGTTCGCCCTCTTTTTCGCCAACAGGGCTGAGCCAGCCAGCCTCGCATGTAGTAAGTCAGGTGCCAATTTTATTTCATTTTTTCAAAATGTTATTTTACATGTTTTATTATATTTTTCAAGGGTAAGATAGAGTAGGAGGTTGTGTTTTGCTGGTGGAACGCCCATTCAAAGGGATCAAGTCGTATCTCTGTGACAGCACTGGCGGCGTTCGCGGTGTGACGCGGACGGAGATAATGCGGTTCATTTCTTTCCCGCCACCGGATGAGACACTTTTGATTGATTAGTCGTCCTGTCCCTAAAATAGGGCGGAAATGGCGCTCAATGTTCCTGTTGGAAGCTCTTCGCGGACTGGGAGACTGGAATTCGGTGTCGCCGCGTGAGCCCGTTAAGAGACTGGTAGAGAAATGGAGGGGGGGGGGGGGGGGGCAGCACAACGCCTGGAGAATACGTGCGAGGGGTCAGCGCCTGTTGAATAAGGCATCGCCCCCGCCAGGGAGTGACAGCGGGACAGACAGACGGACTGACGGACAGACAGACAGACGGAAAAGGGTGGGGATGCACCGTATGGGCCGCTTGGAGGCTCAAAGATAACCCAGCCGTGCGTGGCTTCGGCGATCGCCGACGATCGGGATGATATCATCTGGGATTGCGTCGAGTCGGCCGGTAAGACAGAAAGAAGAAAAACGATTCCAGGCGTTTTCTTTCTCTCCGCGTTTTTCTGCTTCTGGCTGGAAGATGACCTTTCGCATGGAACCGGACTTAGCGCTACTACCACTAGGTGGTCTCGGCTCGGCTTTTCGACGCCGGACGAAAAAGCGGCAGGTGGGTTCGGTCTTTTCGTTTCTGACGCATGGGATATTTCTTGGCGAGAGTGTGTGCGTGCGTGCGTGCGAGCACGTGTGTGTGTGTGTGTGTGAGTACGTGTGGGTGCGTGTGTGTGCGTGCGCCATCACGCGACACTGCAATCGAAACGATAATCCACCGTGCCGCTGGAAACGTGCCACTCCCACCGCGCTGCTGCTGTTGTTGTTGTTGTTGTTGTTATGTTGTTGTTGTCGTTGTTGTTGTCAATCCATGCGGGAGACACGTCCGCAAAGCCCATTTCACTTTTCTTAAAACTTTTTTTTCTTTCTTTTCCGTCCAAATCTCCGCTTTGCTATGCGTGCTCGGAGTCGTCAGCCCCCAGCGCGCTAATCGATCCCAGCAGACGGATTCCGAAACGGCGCTCTGTCTCTCTCGCACTCCGTCCGCCGCAAAGGGTGCGAGAGAGACAGACGGAGCGCAGGGTCGCGCATCGCGGACCGCCGCGGAGAGAGTTCCGGGAGACTTTAACGCCGACGGCAATGTCACCGAGTCTCGGGAGGAACAAAAACTAAAACAACAGCAACAAAAAAGTTGGAAAAAATCTAACGAAGATGATGGCATTCCGCGTGCCAAACCGCGTCCCGTTCTCTCACTTTGTCTCTGGCTGTCATTTTTATTTTCTGGTCGAGTTTGCGACGATTTGCTGAATTGGAATTCCTAGGATCAGTCAATGAGGAAAAGTACGAAATAGTTCCCGAAAGTACACCCGCCAATAATTTCGAGTTGTAAAGGGTCTTGCATATTTTTTTTTCCACTTTTAACTGTGAATGATAATGCTGCTAAGTGAAAACTAGAGCCTCGAAATTGGCCTCTCGCCCCTTCTCCTGCTGGAGGCGCCGGTGACCTACTTGCCGTGCTGCTTGGCTGTGCCTGGCCTGCCGCGCCGCCCTTCCCCTCCCACACGCCTGCCTTCGCTGCAACTCCGTCGCGCCGTCTCGCTCGCACCCACACGGGCCGCCCCATGAGTGCGAGAGAGACGGAGCGAGTCTGCCGCCTTCGCCGCTCCGCCGCTACGCCTCGCCTCCGGGCGGCTCCACGGGCAGCTCCGGGTGGCGCGGTGGCTAAACGTTTCCAGTGTCTCCACGCCGATGACGAATGCGGACGAAGGTTACCGAGTAAATGTGTGCGTGGGTGTGCGTGTGAGTGAGAGAGAGAGAGAGAGAGACAGACAGACATTCGGGGGAAACAACGTGCGTTAGTCCGCGCGTGATGGGGAAGCAGTGGCGTGGTCGCCGGGGCCGCCGCCGGGGGTGCGGGAAACCCTCTGAGTCACAAAAAAATCTCAAGACGAAACTGTCTCACACTGTCTTTGTATTAAAATTATTAAAGACAATATCTGCAAGGTTTTTTTTTACTGGCTGCTGTTTTTGTTGTTGGTTTTGTTTTGTTGAAATCCGCCTCTCAGTTCCGCGGTGCGGCCGCCTCGTTACGAGACCATTGTGCGCCCCGGGCGTGCCCAGGGCGTGGGCGGCACTGGCGGCACGGAGATCGATACCTCGAACGATACGTCGAACGATGCCATTTATTACATCGGACAGTTGCGTTTTATTTTTTATTATTTTTCCCCCTTCTCAAAGATTCCAATTGTTGTTGTTACGCCGTTGTGATCGCAGCGCGGCGGCCTAGTGTTGTGCAAGCGGCCCGCCGCAGTTGCCCGCCGTGCGCGGCTTGTAGTGTAGCAGCAGCGTGCGCGCACCGCGGCGCCCAACAGTTTAAAGCGACGCATTAATGTTCGGCGAGCTCAACAACCTGCATACGCACCGCGCTGTGCGCCAACTGCAGCCAACTGCAGCCAACTGTAGGACACGGCGGGGCGGCGTGGCCCTGCACTCGGAAAGAAAATGATCGCAATAACCCCTCGAGGCTACAGTTTCCATAAATGTCCCATGCAGAAAAAAGGGAAGGAAAAATAAATTTAAATTGCTGTGGAAGGGGAGAGAGAGAGAGAGAGATGCAGGACAGTATCGCGAGAGCGGGGGGCTTTATGTGATGCCGCTATCTCTCGCAGATTACCGTTGAGAGTTACGACGCGATCTTTGATTAGTGGCTGCAGCCGAGTGAGTGCAGGACAGCAGCGGTTTATCGCGCCGCGAGCGGGAAGGAGGAATAAAAAAGAGTGAAAAATGAAAAATAAAAAAGTGTGTCGGGGCGCTGAAATTGAGCACGGTGGCGTGTTTACTCTTGCTCACTCTCGTTTTCCGAATTGGTTTCCGCGGTAGAGCCAGCACGCGTCTCTCTCTCCTGCCCCAGTCTGGCTCGTGCGGGCCTCTCCTCAATTAGGAACGGGTTAACGGGCGCAACGGTGGCTCTTCCCTGCCCCACAGTCCGACCAGGCAGCACTTCCAACGAGGAAGGAAAGGGTACACTGTATGGAAAGTGCTTGATCACATCCGTCTAGACTAAAAATTCACCACGGGTCTCTATCGGTCAGTACCTCGAATAATCAAAATGGAAATGAACCCAAATTTAGGCTGGCCGTGCTGTGGACTTGTACTTTCGTTTCCCAGTGCCTTGCCTGGCCCCGAGAGGCTCCGCCTCCCACGACATTGGTCAAGTTTCTCATCACCTTCCTCGACATTTATAAACGCCGGCGCCGCCCCGCTCGTGC